AACATTGTTAACAAGACCATTGGTCATTCCTCTCTTTGGTCTCTTCCCAACTGAATTTGACTTGAAGATGCCTTTTGAATCGACACGGACTCAACTGATAGATCCCGACTTGAAGACGCCTTACGTCTTGGACTCGGGTCACATAGATGAGTTGGCCAGCTTATAGCTTAGACTTGAGTTAGTTATTTTAACCATATATTTTGTTCTTCTAAGTTTGACACGTGGTAAGTTTAAGGGCATAGTAAGTTTCAGGGTATAACAATAACATTGTCGAGCAGAGCCCGCAATAAAATTCCTTGTAGCTTAATCTTGTCCAAGAGAAGCCTGGAAAGTCTGCTGAGTAAAGTGATTGATCCTTTGGTCTGCAAAGAGATACATCACGACCATTTAAAATAAAGACAAGATGCAAATTAAAAGAAGCTCAAAGATGAAAAGTTACAAGTTGAGTTATGTTTGAGAAAAGGCACCAAGAAATTTACATCAGTTATTACCAAAGGGAAACACAGCACTTGCTGCACAAATAGAACCATTTTTATAATATGGGAACGTTTTCTTTCCTTTCATTTTGTGACTGTGTGAGGTGGTGTGTGGGAATCACTTGTTCATTGTGAAGTATGCTGAGTAAGGATAGGAGAGCAAGGATATGAGCACTTATATGAGTGCAGGAGTTAGAATGAGTCACATGTATGTGTCTACAATGAATTCAAAAAATTCAAGATACAAATATGACGTGGCTATGGTAAAATAACGTAGCACGGAAATGATAAACCTCGGAATCCATCAAGGGGTATTCTATGAATCCACAAAGAATAATATTTGAATCCACAAAGAGACAACCTTGAACCCACAAAGTAATATAAAACATAATTTTATTGATAAAAGTAATCTGCTCAATTTAGGGTTACATGACTCATCTTAAAAAGGAAAAAAATAGACTCATAATAAAACTATAATTACAAAAAATAAAAAGTATCAAATCCTACATTAAAAAGATTCCATATAATAGAGGAAACAAATTAGTCCAACATGAATCAAAATTGAATTTGTTTCCTAGTCTAAATAGACTCTAACCTTATTACTAAAAATAAACTAAATATTAATTATTTTTGGATTTCTACTAATAACTAGTGCTACTGATGAGATTTTAAAAACCTAACAATCCGATTGGTGTTGTCTCATCGAGATAAGCGATTTACATATATAATATGTCAGAATCTGCCTTCTGGATTGGAAGATATGATCATTTTTTTTGAAAAACAATAATATGTATGTATGTGCATTTTGCTTGTGATTTTCCTGATCCTCCATGAAATTATCCGTCATGTGACATATATTAGTCTCCCCTTGTTGTAAGAAGCTCGACCCCGAGCTTATATTTGTTTGAATAGTAGCTTCCTTGATAAACACTTTTCTTGTCCCGTGTCAACCATCGTCCGCCTTATACTTAGCATTGATCTTCTTCATCTATTCTTTTACCTCTTCGGCTAGGGATTCTTCTAAAACAAGCTTTTAAATAAATCTTTCCCACATCATGTTTATGTGACTGATGGCAAGTGGATCTATAGATGACTTGAAAAACTCCTCCAAATTTTTTCCTTATTGTTTTTTATATTCTTGCGCCTGAACTATCATCAAAAGCTTCTTAAAATTATTCACAACCTTTGCTTCCAAAGAAAATTCTCCATCATACTCCATACACAATTCTTTTATCTCCTTTGTCTCGAGATCTCCACCAAGCAATTCACACATATCATCAATTGCCTCACTCTCTATTTTATCCTTCTCCTCTATCAGGACAATATTAATATGTACAAATTGCTAACAGTCTCTCTGAAAATACCGTACATAATATCCATCTTCACTATCATATTACCATCAACATCAGGAGCCTCAGGACGAATCTTGATGGTGGCAGAATCTTTCTTTTCAGTGGTGAATGTCTCGTTGTCTGCCACTAGAGAAACCTTCTCCTTAACAAACTCTGTCTTAAATGCCTTTAGTTCAATGATTGACATAATTGATGAAGTATTTGTTGGTGCTTCTTCGGTGCTCTTCACAAATCCAAACACTTTCTCAGAGATGAATTGAGGTTTCCATAATCATAAGTAGTTTGATAACTCTCTAAAAACATTGTTGGCCTTCTTGTTTTGATGATGATTTACAAACAATTTACATCTAATATTGTTAATTTGTCTAGTGTTTGTGTTTTATATTTATTCTAGGCAAACAATATGTTGGAGGATGGATGGAATTGCGCTTCAACGATGATATCCAATGGAGGTTGGTGGAATAGTGGTTGAAGCCTATACAATTCAAGTTAAAGATCCAATTACAAGTTTCATCCAAGTTTACCAAGTTGAGCTACAATGAAGATATATCAATCTTGGGTAATTTAGTTTAGGAGTTTATATTATGTGTGTTAGTACCTTAAGCTCAATATAATATACACACACATTTATTGGTTTCCATGTATATATATAGTTATATATATACATATATGTTTTGGTTTGATAGTTTTCAAGTTTTACTATAAAACAATTAAATATAATTAGAAAACATATTTTTGTTTCATACTTACATGCATATATATGATTTCATCAATATCAATTTTATTCAGTTCAATGAAATCATGTTTTAGTGCATTATATGTGTATTTTGATAAAATACTATATTCATTGTTTATAGATTTCATAACAATAGTTTACAT